TTAGTGATGAACGCTGCTTTTCCATGCCTGTCTGTTTTTGTGAATCACGTGCCATCACTACATGTACATGTGCTTGTCATGACCCCTCCCCACCCCAGTGGCCCCACCCCTTACTTCGAAGTACGAAAACCAGGCAGGCACAGTGGGTTGGTCAAAGACCATGATTGAGATAAGAGAGGTACCTGGTTCAAGTCCTACCTGGGAGCGGTTTTTCCAGCCGTGCTGCTACTAGTGCTGCTACTAGTAGCAGCACGTCCAGCGGATAATGCTCCGAAACCGTTTGTATAATGCCAACCATAATGCTCCAAAACCACCTTATAATGCTGATTTTTTTAAACCCTTCAGAAAGGCCTATAATGCTTTTGGTTTGAGACAAAAGGGAGAATGGCTGCAAATTGTCAAACTTCAAAGAAGGAATGCACATAGTCAATCTGAATCTGAAGCTTCCGGGATGTCTATCACCAGCTCCACCATCCGTTAGTACTATAAGACATGATCGCTTCTCCAGTGGCTGGTCTCCATTGCAACTTGATGCAGGGCTGTGGCAGAATAGCGGGTGTATCAAATATTTCCCCCCTCATTATCCAGGTAGTGAGAGCCTGAGAGGTGAAAACCATTATTACTGGTGATTGTTGGGACGCTGGAAGGTTATTGTGGCAAGTGGTATTTCAGTCTGCAGACAAGCTGTCACTGCTTCCACTCTGTGAAAACATGATGCCTTACTATCTGCAACAGTACTGAGTAGACTCTACATTGTAGGCCAGTTCGTGAGAGGCGATCGCTAATCGAGATCCCTCCCATTTGCGGAAAGCCTGAAAACACATGGTCGGAAGTTATTTCGCTTTGCTTGTGCTATCTTCTTCTCCTCTTGGTGTCGCGTAGATAAATGCATGGCCACAATTGGGCTCCGGCGGATTATGCTCGCGAAATCATGGAATTATGCTTTCATGGATTCTCGCATTATGCTCGCAAAATCCTCATATTATGCTTAGGCACGCAGGGATACAAATTCACTTTGTTGTACTTATCGGGAGCCCCAAAGTTCGGAAAATTGTGCCTTTTTCTCACTTGTAAGTGGCCATAAGTACAACAATTTGTTACACGAGTATCCTTATACCAAGGTGTCCATGCATGCTAGTGATTATCATGGAAAAGGGAAACCACTTCTTTTATAAATTCATTAGTTGACTTTTGACTTCTTTTGCACTTCAGTAAAAATATGTTTTCATTGCCAAATCAGTTTGAGTTACCTTAGAAAATTATCATGTTCATCTGTCTTCGTAATCGTCATACTCGTCTAACCGATATGTCACCCTCACCCTGCGAATAATCAGCTCATCTCTTCCGTAGCTCCACCTCTCCTTCCATCATGGCCGAACACCAACTACACCTGAATTTTTTTAAATTATTATAGCAATGTCCGAAGCCTGCACAGTCATAGATGCTAAAATCCAGAGTGCATGACTTCCTATCATGAATAATGTACATGTAGATCTACATGTACGCGGAGTCAGTTTGCGGACTACCCCAGGGCCTGCTCTAGACATTCAACTCAGCCCGGTCAGAGTGTACCTGGCGCATGTAGGCCAAGCGGGTCAAGTCGGGTCGGATCATCCTGCAGAAAAACAACCAAAGAGCCTGCTCAAAACGCAGGAAAACAGAAAGGCGAATTTATTACCGGAAATCGGAAATTTTAGAGAACAAGGCGAACTATCAAAGTCCGCAAACGTAGAAGGTAAGGCCGAGTAAAAAAAATTACTAGATGATCGTCCTTTTTTTTGGAAAAATCGGGGAGGGCGGGAGGATTTTATTTTTATTTTTTTACTTTTTACCCTCTCATGCACACAGTGTACACAACAACATCAAGGTTTTTTTTCTCTTTTTTTCTTTTTTTTTCTTTTTTTCTTTTTCTTTCTTCAGCAGATCGATACTGACGTTGTGATATACTAGTAGTATGTGGTCCATATAGTAAAGAAAGTATTAAACAAAGCGTGCACATGTTTCCTGCATCCGCGATCGGTAAAAAACCAACGATTTCGGCAAAAACTCACGATTTAAAAAATAAAATATTTCTTGGGGCGCTGACAAAAACTGGGGCGGACGGGGACGATCATCTAGCTTTTTTTTTTACTTGGCCTAAACGACATTATGTGAAGAATGCAAAGCAGTAACATAATAGAGCACTGGGGGGGGGGGGGGGGGGGGGCTGCAGCACCTTGTGGAGTGGCTGCTTGCTGCGACTGAATCACCTGCATGGCCAAGCCGACTGGTATCTGCTGCACCATCTGCTGAAAGGCTTCAGCAAACTGGAGAACTGTTGACCCAGAGCTGCTGCTGCCGCTGCTGCTCTGGGTGTGCGGGCCAGGTCCCTCCGTTCAGACGAAGTTGAAGTTGCAGTCGTAGTGCGCCGAGTCACCTCAGAATGCCATGCAGCCATAGTCTTGTCGTAGTTAAAGCAGTGAATTCTTACCTTTCAACCACGCATCGCAACCAAATCCACCGCCGCTCGTCTTCCTTTGGAAATGCGTCTTGCACAAAGCGCATGACATGGATAGACTGCCATGGTCGTAGTCCAGCCAGGGTTGACCTTTCTTCCAAGAGTCTTGGAAAGCGTGAGTTTTTTTCTCTTCGCTGCGGGCTCCATCGTCCAAATCACCAGTCGGCTGAAAACTTGCAACTGTGTCAAAAGCTATAGCCAAAGTTACGCTTTTGACTACCTGCCCCATCGACTTCCTGCGTGATGTCCTGACTTCCTGCTCGCCGCTGGCCAGATCGCGCTCGAACCAGTTGACCCGGCCCAGTTGACCCTAGCCGAGTTTCTGTCGCTTGGAGACTGTAGTCTGTAGTGTGTAGTCCTACAGTGGTACGGTTGCGCTAGATTTGCAACAGATGGGGTCCGCGAGTCGTAAAATACGGGTATTTTAGGAATCCATTGTCAGTTTGAGACATTTTTCAGCCGGGTCAGACTGGACCCGGTGTTATCTGTTCAGCCAGGTCGTGCAGTTCCCCAGCCGGGCGCGTGACCCGGCTGACCCGGCTCTCCAGCAAGCCCTGTACCCGTCACTATCTCGTCCGCCCCCGGATACCTGATAAAGGCTGATTCACCCGCATCTTCTGCTACATGTACTGTATCAGTGTGAGAAAGAACTTTGAAGAAGACGAGTTTGACCATACAATAATGTATTGCCATTATTTCTACCCTGCTTTTCATTGAAAACACTATCTGCATGGCCTCCAACTTCAAGCCCTTTACCATGCAGACCACCAGGACTGATCAGGTGCATTGTACACAATTGTGTAGCCTACATACTAGAACTGTGGTACAATCTTGTAGTTATGCTTCTACCTCCGAAAGGATGCCAAATTATGCTCCAAATTTTCAACCACCAAATTATGCCAATAATTATGTCGGCATAATCCGCCGGTGCCTAGCCACAATACTCCTATTTTTGATATCACTCGACTGCTGGCTTGACATTACAACCGTCCACAACAAACTTTACGTGCTTCACCACGAAAGCCGGACACGCGCTGCTGAGAGCTAGCTCATATGGACTTGGTGCTGAGTCCATGAGTAATTCTAGTTTTTTTTTAGCCTGCAGGCATGGGCTGGACTCGGTAAAGGCAGTTCTTTGGAACGCGCTCCGCTTTCTGTTCATAGCCGCTCCTTCATCCTGGTCCAACTTTGTCAATGGATCAGTGTCTACTTCAGTTTCGCTACATCTTGTGGAGACGCTATTGCCAGATCATGAGGCACAACGAGAAAACCCCCTTCGTCTGTCTCCTCCATGATCCATAGCTCTCCATTTAAATAACTCTTTTTGACTTTTTCCTCTTTTCCTTGTTAGCCGCGGTTGGCTATAAAAACCCTGCAATCGAAAGTGGTCATTTGCTACCCCAGCCATGTATTGCTTGGAATAATAATACAAAAAGAAAAAAAACTCTACTCTATGTAAATCATCGTTTCGAACTTGTGGAACAGCTATGGTTGGGCATTCTATGATCTATAGCCGTTGCCAAAGAAAAGTGACCCACGAGTCAAAACTCAGACGTTTCTCGTCAGCACTTGTGCCAGTGGTTATGAGACTTATCCACTCACCCCCACCGTAACGTAGGCGCTGCATCTGCCGCTGGGGTTTACCGGGTATTAGCGGCCGTCGTGATTTCTCTTCGGGAACGGACACGATAATTTACTTACTTACTTACTTCGCGGTATTCCATTTTAAACTAATGATGTCAGGTATCCAGCATATTCAGTCTCCACTCCACTCTCCAGTGCAGTTCCCGAAGAGGTAGGAGAGGTGACATTTTGCCTGTACATACTAAACTATAATATGAACATGCTGAGTTACACACACCACGCATGCCCATACCATGGCAGTAGACCACGAATAATGGCAATCATAGGCTTCATAGCAGTGCGGACTCGAGCCGCTGCAGGAATTTATCCGGAATGACATTGTGATGACGTCACCATTATACCAGTGATCGCACATACCCGCGAACGCCATGACAATGACACGTTGACACTTCGACGACAGTGTGAGCGCCAGGCACGGCCTTTCTCCTGCCAAGTAAGTTCTGGAACTACGTCTACATGTATGCCTATGCATGGTCTATAACTACGGCATATGGACATGTCATTCAATGACCAAGTCGTAGATGACCAATAATCAGTGGTACTCTTTGGTAATGCTGTATCTGTCTAGGTAGGGGCCGTGCTCATGCCTCATGGTGCTCCGCGTTGCTACTTTTGGAGCTGTCAATAACAACGATTTGAAAAATCGGAAGGATTTTATTCTTGGAAACAGAATTTTGAACGAGGCTTGAAAGAGCACCTGTGGTTTTCGCACAACACGTTCACTAAACACGATATACGACGAATTCCGGTGAATATTTAGGCGAGCAATGTGAAATCTTCGTCTGAAACGTCTTGGCCGCAGTACATTTTTTTTTGTAGTTTCCATCACCTCATCATGAGCTCAGGCTGGGTCAGCATGATCTGGGCCAGGTTCATTTCTGAGGCGTAGCCACTCGCGTCGCACTGACTGTCTGTGTTGCCCGTCGTAGGTCCACAACTGACATTTTGGTCCGTTATCGGATTCCTTGTTAGCAATTCGTCAGAAGCTAAAATTGTTTCTGTGCTGCCTCGAAGTTGAAGAGATATTCTGACTGTCTTGCACCATTGCATGACCTGGTTTGCCGTGGAAGACGTTCTATTGGGAGCGTGAAGGATTTCCCATTGTGATTGGCGAGCGTCCTTATCGTCGCACCGCAAAGCAGGTGAGCACCCCTCCGTTCTCGCATCGACGGAAGAATACGGGATTCTCCGAGTCACTATCAATGCAGCCGCGGCAAGGAGCAGGCATGTAGGACAAAGCTGGTTCGTCTGCTTGCTCGGCTTGGTCCGTAAGAACCGCCCGTGAAGAGCGGGTGCTGAAGCCTGGCAAAATGCCTCGTTCCGATGCCTATTGCGCATGGGCCTTCCTTCTTCTGGCTTTGTTGACGGTGAGCACCTGAAACTCGAACACTTTATTGTTTTGCTTCGCATGGCTAGAATGAAGTACCTGTTGAAAATAAAGTGTTTTCTTCTGTTGTAAGAAACGAGGCTTGCACGATGCATGTGATTCGTTCAAGTGGCTTTTGACCAAATAATTGGGTGAATTCGTATCTTGTTTTGAAGGCTTGAATGGAGGAGACTCAGTTGAGGCCATACCACTTTTGTATTGTGCGAACTGCTGCTCAATGAAATCCGGGTTTCGTAGATCTACGTCGGCTAGAGTCAGTCTTGCGAACGCTGAGGTCTGCACTGGTTTACCTTTTCATAAGCCGAACTTCATTGAGCAGTTGCATAGTTTCTTCGAAGGAAGTATTACTTATGAGAAGCTGCCACCTACGTTTGTGTGATATTGGTTCGAAAGGAGACTTAGAGATACAAGCCAGAATTATGGAAGTCAGCGGGGAGGGGGAGGGGGGGAGAGAGAGAAGGCAAGAGGAAGGAGGATGCAGGAACTTAGTAGTTTTCTGTAGTTGGGGCGGGGAGAATGCTTGTAATGGCTCTAAGGCCATGAGGAGAGAGATGGGAATGGACGTGCTTCTCTGAAGTGAGCTCATCCTTTCAAAAGGCTTTTCCCGACCACCGTTATGTGGAGAAGTGGGCATGAATGGAAGACTTGCCATTCTCCAAAAAATGCTTTCCATGTCCCGAGTTTCATTATGGTCAAGCAGCGGTAGACGAGCTGACTGCTGTGACATAATCGTCAAATGTACATGTGGTTATGTACTTGACAAAGTATTGTCGATGCATATGCGGTAGGGGTGAAACGAGTATCTATTTTGACCAATCGATCACTTGTTCATAATGTTCGATCGAGTATCCGATTATTTCGAGTATTTTATCAAAATTCAAAAGCGCTAGATTTGCAAGTTCTCGACCAATTCGGAAGAAATTATATGTGAACATAGAACAAAAGTCGCCAATGTCTTGTACAGAGTGTAAAGTAACGATTTTCATCAGTACTTTCATATCTCAGAACGTTACATGCCGTGGTGATCGCATCGTCCAAGTCTTAAAAAATACTGACTCAAAGCCATGCATAACGCATGCATACCAGTGGACCAGCGGTACAACAAAAGTTTAAAAAAACCAACAATGCCAATACTAAAAAAAACAAACAAAAAAACGATCGAGTGCAAAATTTCGAATACTCGCTCGTTTGAACTTTTCGAACGAATACTCGAATATTCGAACTAATCGTTTCACCCCTAATATGCGGAAAAAAGAGAGAGAGCAGCAGCAGCAGCAGGAGGAAATGCAAGAGAGAACAAGAGGAACGGAGGGAGGGAGGGAGGGAGGAGGAAGAGAGAGAGAGAGAGAGAGAGAGAGAGAGAGAGAGAGAGAGAGAGAGAGAGAGAGAGAGAGAGAGAGAGAGAGAGAGAGAGAGAGGGAGAGAGAGAGAGACGGGGGGGGGGGGGGGGGGAGAAAGAGATGAGTACTGGACACTGGCCTAACCCTGGGCCAAGTAATTGCTATCACACAGATTGATTAGTGGTAGAACATTACTGGCCATAAGTGAGGGTCCCTGGTTCAAGTCCTGGTAATGACAGTCAATTTTTTTCTAAAGACGTTTCCAATTTTCAACCCCGTCAACCTTATGACTGTGTGTATACTTGTGCATTCACTGTTCTAAAGTCATTTCCATACCCTGTGTACATGACAGATACATTGTAACCCACTCTGTTTGTGTGTGTGTGTGTGTGTGTGTGTGTGTGTGTGTCTGTTTGTTTTGTGTATATGCATCTACACATGTGTGTATATTATAATAATTATGTACATGTGATTGCATGACTATGTGGTGTCTGTTCCAGCTGGCACATCCGGCCACAAACGCACCAGTTGAATTGCAGCATGGACCAGCACTACAGCCGCATAAAGATGAGGCGGTAGTGAGATTTCACCCATGGATCATAGCTGGTGTGGCGGCATGCAGTATAGTACTGGCTGTGCTCATTCTTGCCATGTGTGGTGGTCGAAGCAGGTAAGCTTAGCCCGGTATACCATGTAAGGTTGGAGCGAAGACTACAATTTCAAGTCACACATTTTCAGGTCTGCTGCGCACCATTCTTTCTAATGCAGTTCACAGAACACTAGATAGGTATGTCCTGTGAAAGCACAATTGAACTTGACATACGGTGTCGTAGACTCCCAGCTAGGTTCGTTCGTATAATATTATTGATCCACTTCTCCTGGTCATCCCCTGGGCAAGTGCTTGTGAAGAATCCCGCTCACTGGCTGGTCATGATGCAGCTGAAAAGGACCGGAGTTGTGAGTTGAGCTGTGACGGGACTCCATCACTACCCCTCCCCAGCTACTGTGATGCACAAAGGTCATACAGAATACCTGGCCTTTGGCCATTTGTTTTGGGGTTTTGTGTTCTATATTATCTTTACGAAAGAACACAAACCCGACTCGAGACACATACCAAGAAAGATAAATTGCAAGGAGGACAAAGTTACGACTAGAACACAGAAGTTTATGGCCCGTTTTGGAGCCATCAGTTCCAATCTCTCTCTTGTGTGATTTTATCATCAGTTGAGATGCTTTGGCAAAGCCATGGCATAATAATGCGGTAGTTAAAGCAAAACCGCCGCCTCCCACCGCATGTTTTGCTCCCACAAGCGAATCTTCTATAAATCGGGCAGGTGGAAGCTTGGGAGGTCAAGTCTGCCTGAAAGGTACACTAGGGACCAAGTACGGTTTGCCCGACCTGACCAGAGTAGGTATACTAGACTTGTCAGTTTGAGCAATCTGGAAAGGTACATCCGGGCCCGGTTTAAATCTGGCTTTGGAAATTCTATTTTTCATTGCTATCAGATCCGGCCTCATTTTCTCTGTGCTGTGTTGACAAGTCCACAAAGGACGAAACAGTTCTGTCCGCAGATTGAGTAGAGTTTTCACTTTAATGTCAAGAGGTGCAGTGGGTACTTATGCTTTCCTGGATGGCTAGTGCCCGGGTCGTGTTTGCCCGAGGACTTGTGTCATGGCTGATCAACATAGCCATCCTTTCAGGGCCGGCGGAAGTAGCTTTTGATTGGTCCGGTCATACCCTAGCCTTTCATACAGTTTGTGTATGATATGGAGGAGATACACATGACCCCGGCCTCAGCAGTAAACACATGATGGTGGCCAAAAGGTTGGTCCGGCCATGGCATGACCAACCGGACCGGTTCCGCCGGGCCTGCCTTTGATTGTGCTTTCTTGGTCTCGAATTTCTCATTGTGGATGTTTGTAGAGAAAAGAAACAGATGCGAAACGCAGCCCAAGCAGCTGCAATGGGTAGCTTTGAGACGGAGGGCCCGTACGCCGAGCATGCCGTTATTCAAGGTTAGTCTGCCTTCTTCATTTTGCATGTAATCTTGTGATGTTTGCTGCTGCTGAAGCCATGCATGTGTGTGTGTGTGTGTGTGTGTGTGTGTGTGTGTGTGTGTGTGTGTGTGTGTGTGTGTGTGTGTATGTATATGTGCATGTGTATGTGTATGTGTTTGTGTGTGTTTTGTGAGCATGTTAAGGAATTGTGCCATGCAGGTCTTTATTTTCATGAATTCTGTTGCTTGACAATCTGGGCAGTGAAATGAATGTGTTGATAAACTGACATTTCCCAGAGTTGCGCTGTCGCTCCTCACACTCTTCCTCCTTACAGGTAATGTTTTTGACATGTGACAGCGCATGTTCGTGTAATGCATGTTCTTGTTTGACATATGTGTGTATGTGTGTGTATGTGTGTGTGTGTGTATGTGTGTGTGTGTGTATGCGTGTGTGTGTGTGTGTGTGTGTGTGTGTGTATGCGTGTGTGTGTGTGTGTGTGCGTGTGTGTGTGTGTGTGTGTGTGTATGTGTGTGTGTGTGTGTATGTGTGTGTGTGTGTGTGTGTGTGTGTGTGTGTGTGTATGTTTCTACGGTGTGCTTTGCATTTGTCTGCTGCACAACATTCATGCTGGTACTGCTTGATTCACAGGAAAGGTAAGTTATAAACGTCTTACAAACATGGATTCCCCTGCATGGTGTATTCTGTGTTTTCCTATAAGCTCAATTATTTGTCACGGGTTCCCCTTTCAAACCAATCTATCTATTGCCTTGTGCAGCACCTGTTCTCTACCAACCTACATCCAACACTTTGGTATTCTATAGGATGCCTTTTTGCCCAGTCGTTCGAATGCAGCAAACCGGTGATGTATATGTAATGTCTCGTACGTTCTTTTCAAAAGTTCATGAATGTTGAAAGCAGAAGCATTTGGATTTGATTGCTTTTCGCTCAGTTAGGGTTGCATTATGTTCTTCTCGACATTTCTTGACTTGCAACAGCAGAGAGTAATCAAATTATGGTGTGATGCATTGTGTTTTTGCAGGCTAAAGAGATTGTATGGTTTGACGAACAAGGACCAGGGTAAGTTGGCAGTGCCCACCTCGCGAATTTTCCGTTTTTCTTTATCATTCGATGTTAGGTAATGGGCCATGGTGGTATGAAGCAGACTTGTCCATTCGCCTTGTACACACACGCATGCTCCCACACATACACACACACACACACTTGCACGTACACATACCCAAATACACAAGGGCCTGTCCACCTTGTGCGGCTTCAGGAATAGTTCTGTTGTATGGTTTTTTTTTTAAATCATGGGCCCATATCAAGGTACAGTGAAACCTGTCTAAGACGACCGCTCAAGGGACCTTCACAATGTGGTCTCTGATACCAGGTGGTCTCTTTATCCAGGGTCATTTGACTGGAAATAGCTTCCCTTGGTCCTGGTTGCGGTGGTCTTCTAGGACAGGTGGTCGCCATATCCGAGTGGTCGCCTTGACAGATTTTACTATATATTCATTGTGGCCACAGAGATCATTGAATTATTGGTAGTTATAACCAATGCTATGCCCTCCGATTGCTATTATTGTACTCATGCAGAGAGTCACACAAGGACAGGCTGGCTGATCTACTCACCAGCAGTCCACCGGATGATCCATGGAGGCCTGATGACATGGGCGGCCGCAAGGTCAGTAGCATGCTCACGTAGAGATTTTTCCCTTGAAGCCAACTGACCCTAAGCAGAACTATGATAGGTCTGTTGTGCACCACAGCATGCTCCATCTGGCAAGTGTCAATACTTTCCTTTAGACATAATTATGAATATTTTTGTTGGGTGTACCGTACTAGCTGTCGAGGGCTATGCCGTGACTGTTTTCGTCTCTGTTTGTGTATTGTAAACCTGTAACTAAAGACCACTGTGACTAGCATGTAGCAACCAGCCTGGTGGTACAGACCACTTTGCCAGGCACGGGCGGTCTCACATTCATATTATGGTTGTGCAATGTGAACCTCTAACTAAGGACCACCTGCCCCTGAAGACGGCTTTCTCCGGCCCCGAGGGGTGGTCGTCAGTTACAGGTTTTACTGTATTTCTGATTGCTTCTCTTGTTCTTGCTTTCTGCAGGCCAGTGTATCCAATATGGAGTTACCAAGTAAGTCTACGGTGCTGGGTTTGGCCCTCCTGATCTGAATTCATCCTTAGTCACACCATTTGGATTGGCCAGTGGTGTTCTAAAATTCCTGGGCAGCCCATTGCCCAGGATCCATAAACGGTGAAAAGCCAGTCCCAAGGGAACTCTTGAATTCGCAAGCTCCACTGCAGCCACCTTCACATTTACTTGCCTGGACTACTCAGTTAAGATCTCTTTGCTGCAAAAAATCTCTCAATACTGAATCAAAACTCGGATGTTGAGCCAATAGTAATTATTATGTAAAGAGAATTGGACCTATAAGTTACAAGTTATGACTAATAGTCCACCAAGGTAATGAGATGATATAGAGTCAGATAGTGCGACGACGAGGCACAACACTGACAGGGATATTGAGACATTCGATGACCTGACACCTAGCTCCAACACATCCACGAAGCGCAAATCAACAACCTTCCAACTTGGAAGGCTCAGGTGCGGAAAGTTCCAATGAGGGGAAGGGATGCGCCATGAAGATACTGAATCGTTTGGGCATGGCCCATCATCAGAGTAAAGCAATAAGAGATTTCGAAAACCTACTTGTATACTCAAATTGTTGTTTCCATGCATGCTCATAGACAGCGGGGGAGTTATTCAAAGAAAATGCTAACAGATTTGCCGTTGTATTTTGTGTTTGGCATGTTTGTGTTGATGTATTTCGTGCAGAGAGCGCATGGAGCGTTGAGGGTAAGATGGACAAAAAGAGGAAGGATGGAGGGCGAGTCGTTCCTGATGGCGGATCACGTATCGTTGCCGGTGCAAGCCCATTTGAAGGCCTGAAGAAACACCCTGTGGAGGTAAGATGAGAATTGTATGTACACTGTGTGTGTATGTGTGTGGGTATGTGTGTGTGTATGTGTGTGTGTATGTGTGTGTGTATGTGTGTGTGTATGTGTG